GCGTCGGACTTGTGATGAATATTAAACCTTTTTATTTTTTCTACATTAATAATTATCCAAAGTTTATAGAGATAATTACTAAAACAATTTTGGAAAATAGGTTAATTGCTAGAACAACTTTTATTCAACCTTAAAACTTAACATAAGTTATAAAAGATAAATAAACCTTAGTAACAAGTTTTTATTACGAAAATGTCATTCGTAACTTGTAAAAAAAAAAAAAAAATCAAACATTTGTTTGAAACCGCGGTCGCGGAGGCTGCGGAAACACTGGATCATTTTCGACGGAGGTATGGAGGCCGGAATTTAGGCAAAAATCGGATTAAAAATCAAAAGTTGGAAAAAAAACTCAAAATCTTTTGATTTTTTGTTAGAAAAAAAAATATATGATGTTAGATCTACTAGTTTTAGGCAAAATCTAGTTGAAAACGAGTTAAAATACAGTAAAAATGAGCTAAAAAATTGCTGGCCGCCATTGTTAGGATTTGAGAAAAACTTGGTGTTTTGTGGAGAAGATGAAAAGTAAATTACGATTTTATTCTTTATTGAATAAATCTACCACTACTATAAATAAGTCTACCATATATTATAACACTACCACTAGTATAAATAAGTCTACGATTGCGCGAACCATCAATAAGTCTATCGATCACAAAATAACTCTACCACAACTACTAATAAGTCTATCACTCAAAAATAAATCTACCACTACTGTAAATAAGTCTACGATGGCGCGAACCATCAATAAGTCTACCGATCACAAAATTAACTCTACCACCACTAGAAATAAGTCTACCGATCACAAAATTAACTCTACCACTACTACAAATAAGTCTACCATAGTTTATAAATCTACCACCACTATAAATAAATATACCATTGCGCGAACTATCAATAAGTCTATCGATCATAAAATTAACTCTACCACTACTACTAATAAGTCTACTATAAAATTAACTCTATCACTCAAAAATAAATATACCACTACTATAAATAAGTCTACGATTGCGCGAACCATCAATTAGTCTACTGATCACAAAATTAACTCTACCATCACTAGAAATAAGTCTACTGATCACAAAATTAACTCTACCACTACTACAAATAAGTCTACCACATTTTATAAATCTACCACCAATATAAATTAGTCTACCATTGCGCGCACCATCAATAAGTCTACCGATCACAAAATTAACTCTACCACTACTACAAATAAGTCTACCACATTTTATAAATATATCACCACTATAAATAAGTCTACCATTGCGCGAACCATCAATAAGTCTACCGATCACAAAATTAACTCTACCACTACTACTAATAAGTCTATCACTCAAAAATAAATCTACCACTACTATAAATAAATCTACGACTGCGCGAACCATCAATAAATCTACCGATCACAAAATTAACTCTACCACCACTAGAAATAAATCTACCGATCACAAAATTAACTCTACCACTACGAGAAATAAGTCTACCACATATTATAAATCTACCACTACTATAAATAAGTCTACCATTACGCGAACCATCAATAAGTCTACCAACCACTTAATAAATCTACCGATCGCAAATAAATCTACCATCACATAAACGGTAGACTTATTCACTGCCTCATTAATGATATTTTCGTAAATACGTTTTTTCTCTTCAAAAGGAATAAGGTTAAAACGGGTATTAATAATTTTTCAAAATTGTTTGAATAATTTTTAAAAAATAGCATCATTTTGGTCAAAAATCAATTTTGTAAGGTTATTTTAGTAAAGCTGCCAAAGTTTATATTCATCAAACTCGATTTTTTTATCAACACATAATTTGCATCATGTTCCTTCGGTCGTAATTTGGAGTATATTAACTTTATGATATTGGCATCATTATTTTTCCTTCAGTCGTAATTTGGAGAATATTGGAATTGAATTACTAACGTTATGCTACATGTTCAAACCTATATCTATGGTAAACTTATAAATTTTGACCACAGTTTCTTATGAATACTGGAAAGAATTTCATGTATGCTTTTAAACTAAATATTTTTCCTAGCTCGCAAAAATTTTAGATGTGCTTTAGTAAAACATTTGTCACAGCTAGG